CATCCAATAAGCTGGTCTTAACTAGAATAACACTTTCACTAATCCTCCTGTGTCTGCTTTTCTCATGGGGAAAGCTTCTACCCAACCTGACAACTGATCTGCTATAACTAATAAATGTTGGTATCCACTACAACATGGTATATCTGCATAACCTATTTGTAATCACTGAAAAGGGAAGTAGGGCCATGGTCATCACCCTCTCTGAGTTCAGCTTGAGACTTGAAAACTTTTGGCAGGTCAGGCAGCTGCTGGTGATTCTTTTTGCAGTGGCATAAATTCCCAGTGCTATCCATACTTTCTGTATCTAGTTACCTACTGCTCTGCTCCTCCATGAGCTTTATCACAAAACCACCTAGCCATGGTAATTAAATATTTCTTTGGCAAAACTGGCTTTCCTCCAGTTGTCCATATTCCACTGTCATCTTGTTTTGCTTCCCACTTCTCCTATTCTCAGCTGCTGAAGAGTACTGTTTATACATGATTTTGAGGGTTGTTAAATTTGGCCATTCATTCTTATTTTCCATTGAGATTACAACCATACACTCTCCCAGAGGCTGCTAGGCTGTAGCCCTTGCAGCTGCATCAGCTAGGGCATTTCCTTTACTAATTTCTACGGTGTCTTTAGTACGGGCTGGGTATATCAGCAATTTCTTTGGGTAGCTGAACTGATTCCAGCAAATCATGTCTTTCTTGTCCATTGGATACCCTTGTCCCTGATGATGTGAAAAATCCTTGTTCTTCCACAACATTCCTGTTGCATGGCACACCTCAAAGGCATACCATGAGTCCATGTAGATGCTGACCTCTTTTCCCAGGAGCTGTGCACTTCAAGGCTACCAAGTCTGCCCTTCTGCACTCAGCCTTGTTAGAATTGGTCCAGCTCCCATCACTTGTCCTTGGCTGACCACATCCTATCATCAAATCCTGTCATAGAATGGTTTGGTTTGGAAGGGACCTTAAAGATCATGTAGTTCCAACCCCCCTGCCATGGGCAGGGACACCCTCCGCTAGACCAGGTTGCTCAAAGCCTCATCCAGCCTGGCCTTGAAGACATCCAGGGCATCCACAGCTTCTCTGGGCAACCTGTTCCAGTGTTTCACCACCTTCTCCATGAATAATTTCTTCCTTGTATTTAATCCAAATCTACCCTCTATCAATTTCAACCTAATTGCTCACCTTGCCTTTTTTTTTTTTTTGGAATGATGGTGTTTGACAGACACATCATTCATTCCATTTGCCCCTTCAATCTTCATTTTCGAGTAGAAATTTCTTTCTTTCAACATTGTATTCAGCGCCCCACCTAATGTTGGGTCCTCTGCCAGCTAGTGAATATCCCAGCTCAGTTTCAGCATTCAAATTCTTCACACAACATCTGGAAAAGTTAAATTTTTAGAAATGAGGTCTACAGGAGCCAGCACACTGAAACAGGAGTTAGCTCAGCACATCACTTTTCAGCTTTCCCACCTGGCAGTTCTGGAAAAGAACCAGAAATGAGTCTTAAATGTCAGAAGGCACATCTGTTCCATGTGGACTGGATTTTCCATACAGAGAAATAAATCCATAAACAATGCCATGTAAGTAGTTAGGCTGGCATCTCCCACAAATATCAGGCTTACTGAATACATGCTGTGGATTAAACTGTAGACTGCAAATCCCATGCTGACTTACTGCAGATGTACCATGCAGCCAACATACACACAAGCTACACTAAAGTATTTCCAGACACTAGGCAGTTCCCAGCAGTGCTACCTGCAAGTACACATCACCCAAAGCATCCTGACTGTCAGAGCCCTGAGGTACCTTAGGTACCCAAGGTAAAATATTGGCTACTTGATCTTATTTCCAACAGTAACCATGACCCTGCCCAAGAAAAGCCTTGTAAAGAACTTCCTTCAGAACAATCAAGTGTCCTTAGAACAGTACTTGGCCACTTGTAAAAGGTGCTTGGACAGAGCTGTCATGAAGAAATGGAAGAAAGCAGGTCCCATTTAGCTACAGCAAACAGAAAGAGCAAAAGGCTCAAACAAACCTTATACAGATAAAACACTGAAGAACAAACCTTATATAGATAAAACACTGAAGAACAAAGATATTTAAGTGTGAGGTCTATTGAACAGGTTTTCTCCCTACCTCTTTCAACTGTCATCAAAAAAAAAGGGAAAAAAAAAATAGCTCTTCCCACAGTAGTATATTAGATATTTAAGTGTGAGGTCTATTGAACAGGTTTTCTCCCTACCTCTTTCAACTGTCATCAAAAAAAAAGGGAAAAAAAAAATAGCTCTTCCCACAGTAGTAATTGAAGAATTTCTCCAGAAGATGGAGAGCAGTATATGATATTTCTTTTTTTTTTTTTTTAAAAAAAACCCCACAACTGTCTTTTCTTTCTACTTCAAAACCAAGCAAAAACAAATTAAAAAAGCCACAAAGGACAAATTGAACCTGTTGGGGCCAGACAGCATAGGTTTTCAAAATGAGTGAAAGTTTTAGTACTTAATCAATTGGCACTTGATGGGAGTGGTGAGCTAATTATGCAGCCCTTGGCTTACAAAACACAAAACAAGATGTTCTAGGGACTAAAAATAACTTTGAGTTTCAAAGCCAACACAGTGCCAAAAACCAAGCGTATTTGAAAAATTTAAGATCTACTTGTCACAAGATTAACTAAACAAGATAAACCAAATTCCATTATACTTACACAGTTGTCAGCTTAAATCAGTTGTGTTTCAACTAACAACAGATACTTCTTTAAATGAAAGATGAACTGCCCCACTTGCTCTGTGACTGGCAAAAAAAAAAAGAAAAAAAAACACCACCAACAAACTATCTCCTCTGAAACATAACTATCAATATAGAAGCCTTTTCTATACACATAAAGACAGTTATTTTTGTCACTCAATGCCTGTTACTCTTCATTTACTTCCTTTTCATGTATTCTGTCTCAGGGAATAAAAAGTATGTCCAACATCTTTTTTCCTTCCAGCGCTTTACAGAACTTAATCCTACCTACAGGTTAAAACAGTGCTATTGAGGCTTGAAAAGCTTTTATCTTTTGCACTGCTACAGTAAAGAGATGGACTTCAAAGGACAGAGCAAGCAAACCATTAACTGCTCAAATATTAAAGAGATATTTAGCATGCAAATATGCTTTGTGTAGACATGAAACAACTTATTATAAAAAAAAAAACCCAACCTCATACCTTACCAATCGCATACGCAGAACCGATTGCAGTGTATAAAGGAAAGCCATAGCTCAGTTTCTTGGACTTAGAGTAATGGAACTGGTACATCCCAGTTGTTTGATCACCAACCCATACTGCTATGCTTATTACCTGTCATGTTGATATGAATGATGTTAATTTGAGAGAAGCCACACTTATCTAGTGTTATTTCTAAAGCTGTTTCTAATCTGATCTCCTTGGTTGTGGAACTTTGTTTTGTACAGCTGTGCAGTTTGAACTAAGTGCAGCTAGAGAGGTACAGAACACAGGAGAGGAAAGAAGAAAGGGGAGAACCACAGAAACAGTTTAGGGTGCTCAGTCTGCCCTGAATACAAATGATTTCAAGCATGTCAATAGCTAAGAGTTTCTTTACAGTGCTTAAATTTGATTTATAAATAATGCAAGAATAGTGCTTCCATAAAATATTAAAGAAAAAATTTGTAACACCAACCAAACAAAATCTGTATGTACAGACTCTCAAAATTCAAAAGAAAAAAAAAAGCAAACACTTAGGCCTTCTGAAAACTTAAGTGTATTTCCCTTTAGTATATGGTGTGTCAGCAATTCCAACAAGCCTAGAAAACCAAAGAGCAAAACAACATGAAACATGTTCACTACCACAGATCTTATTTATATACTAAGTTAAAAAATACAAATATTTTATTACAAAAAGTTTATCAAACAACTGTATACATACAGTTCATATTGTTAAAAGCCAACCTGTCAACCGATACTTTATGTACATTTGAATAATAATGTCATACAATTGTAGAAAAGCACCACTCAACAGAAACTGATTTGGCATTTGGAAAGTAGTTACCACCCTGCACTAGAAGAGACAATTCATACAGGAATAAAACATTAATATGTTACAATAAGAATACTTATTTGCTGTGATCATTTAAAGTAAATGGATGCTTTCTTTCTCCAAGAAGAATCATCGTAAGCAGAGATTCAAGTGCACATAACCAACACATCAGTAATTCTTCAGCAATCCCATCTCTCATTCTAGATGCCCCAAGCACATCACAGTAACTTCCAGGACTTAGGACTTTTCTCCATGGCTTGAACAGTAATATTTAAGAGAAATTCAGCTTTCTAAGCTGCATGAAATAATTGTGATGTACAATTAGACTAAGTAGGGTACAGAAAATTGGAAAATAGTGTTTAGTAAAATAGTCAGTGTAAATGTGCACAGATACATGACTTCTGGGAGAAAATTTTCCATTTGAAAAAAGATTCATACTATTTCATAAAACTGTGGACCAAACAAGCAGAGCATGCAACAGTATTTACATAAACTATCTCCACAGTTGTTCTTTGTGGGTACATACAAGACAGGTTGGAGCAACACTGTCTAATTATGCATAAAATTTTGCTGGTAATCTGGGAAAGAAGAAAAAAAAATCACCAAAAATTTCTTTACTATAGACTAAGTAGACTAAGGTCCTAAACTACAAAAGTTTTCCTCAAAAATGTAGCCCAAAATACTGGCTTTATCTCATTACAAGCAATATAGTAAACCTTACAAAATATAACAGTGTCAGTACTAGCAGAGCTGTTGATGGCAATAATTCTAATAAATCAGTCTGCTTTGGATGAAAGAATGCTTATGCATGTTACAATCAGCTGAACAGGCTAGATTTACATCCACCAGAGAAGCATGACATATTCACTGAAAATGAAGTGAGTTGCTGGCAATTATGATTATCATTTTTATTACACTAAACTGGTCACTTTTTTCCTTTTTTTCATTTTACAAATATGAGACATTCTGAGCCATTATACTTGAAAGCATACTTTGTATCTTACACACTGGACCAAATTTAGAGGTAAATCATGTTGACGGACATGTTAATATCATCAGGTTTCTGAAGGCCATCCATATGAAGTTTACATACAGCACGACAAATATAAATTTACAGCAGAATCTGGTGTGTAAGGAATACAAATCACAAATAGAAACTTTCACCCCATGGCACATCAAGCATGGCAATACCACTTGTTTCATATCTGGTTAGCAATGGTCAGTTGTGGTTATGTTTTATAGAGTATTTTCCTTTCTGTAGCTGAGAAATATACAGCTTGGACTTGCTTCCATCCGGTCTCTTGAACCAAACTTCATCATGGTTAATTGTTGTAATTATGGCACTACAGAGAATGATGGAAGAAGGGTCAGGGAAAGAAAATGAAGAATTTAGAAAAACTTATTAGCTTATAAAAAGGAACCTCAAAACTGCAGCTGCACTGCTATACCATAAACAAAAACATGCATTAGTTGTAAATGCTAGGCCCAAAAGATCCATTGGAAGGATAGTTTTAACAGAATTCTTTGGTAATTGCATGTCTTTAGTGAACGCAGTTAATTTTTCAGCCATCTACCTATTTTCTTCTCCTGTGAGAAAACCCTCAACAAATACAAGTACTTTCTTTGTTTTTACCATGGGTAGCATATTGATGTGCTTTCTGCGTGTGACTATTATTCTTTTAAACAAAAAACCCCCAGATCCATTGGAAAACATACCAAGAAATTACATTAAATACAAAGTATTTGGAAAAAAGTTAAGAGATTGAGGCACAAGATTTAAAGCAAAAAAAAAAAAATTCAATTGTTAAGTCACTATACCAAGACCATAATAAAGTCAAAGTCTGATTTACTGAATCATTATTATATCAACCCTGCTTTCACGCTCCTTGTGGTAAACCTTAATACAAACAGTGAACACAAGTCCAATGTCCCCTAGTTTTAAAAAAATGAAGAAATATCAAGTTGAATCAATGACAAAAAAGGCTCAAAACCAGAGATCAAAACAGTTAATGTAAGAAAGATCTGTCACATACTGAGTGTGATAAAACTCCCTCCAGCAAACTCTTTAGCCTTAAAAGTTGGTGAAATCTTGAAAGGCTAGGAAAGTTCCACTGTACACTTGCAGCCTTTGGCTGTTGTCAGACACTAGATACAATTCCCACCCCCCCCC